ACCTAACTATGAATCTGTATCAACAGCACAAATTCTAGCATGGGGAATTTTTATTACGGATACTTGTCTATACAGACATTGTAAGACCTGAAAGTCTCGCAGTTTTAAAGAGCCTGCTTTCCAGATGACGATGCCAACTGCCCTCACTAAGGAAAGGCAGTCCTGCGATAAAGGCAGAGAAGTGGGAGCTGGAGATCTGGGCTCAATTCTGACCCTATGTCAGGGCTGTCTAACTTCTAAGCCCCTGGGGGCCACAACAATGGGGGCTGCACCTTATGAGCTGTATGGATGCCCCCCCGCCATCACTACTCCACAGGCCCGCATGGGCACCCTTCCTACCGCTGCACCCTGCGAGCATGCGGGCACCGTTCTCCCCCTCCCATTGCAACGTGCATGCTCATGGGCACTCTCTCTCCCACTGCACTGCTCCCCCACCCCCACCTACCTCTGTTACACCACAGAGGCATCATCCCACCCACCCAGCGTAGCCTGGACTCACCATCAGCTCCCTATAGTGCACTACACTGCCCTACCCCCCAGGGCAATGGCAGGAAGTGGCAGCTAGAAGAGGAAGGGGGAGCCCAGAGATGTGGGAAGCCGAGAGCTTGAGGGCTGCAGTTTAATCCCTCTCAGGCTGCATGTGGTCCACGGGCCACCAGTTACATAGTCCTGCCCTGTGTTATGACAGAGGAGACAGATACCTTTACCAGATCTGTGTGGGAATAATAATAGCAGGCCAAGGTGCAAGAGGAGTGAAAGCACTGCACAAGTCCGAGAGCCCGGAGGGCAACCCAGGCTCCTATGCCTCCCTTTCCATAGCCTCCGATACAGTGGAGGGGAGGGGTAGCAATTCAGTGTAATGTGCTCCAGCCGTCCCTGGCTAGTGCATGCTCCTGGGGGATCACAGCCAACATACACAGAGAACCTTGCCTCTCTTCACTTTCTACTCTCACAAGCATCTTGCAAGACTATACGTACATCTGTTGAGCACTATAAGTGCCTCCTGTGAAAGGCAGCATGCAAATGGAAAGTATTTTTATTACCAAATTTGTGTCTGATTTGGTGCTCAGTTTCTGCATTAAATCACAGCTCCACAGATTTCAGTGTTAGGCCTGATTCTGAACCTTGCCACATGCATATAATCTAGGTATGATCCACTGAGTTTGTCTGAGTTACTCTCATAAAATCTGTGCTAACCCAAAACTAAGTCCTCAGTGTGTTTTCTTTTCTCTGAAAAGCTTCAGGCTATAGATTTCTGTAGCAAACTTCCTATACTGCTGAATTAAGGGTATTTATCCACAGAGGATAAATGTGATTAATTGTAGAATGCTTAAAAGGTGCATCACAAGCTATTTCAAGGATGTAGTTAATAATGCAAATTAAGCATAGACATATAAAACCAGGTAAAAAGCAAGAAATACAGCCTTCAATGCTCCATCATGGAAAAGCTAGTTTTAAACAGTATTTGTAAAATACTCAATGGTTTATTAGAAACGTAATTTAAAGTTACATTATCAAGCAGTTTAGGCTTCAGTTTTACCTTTTTCTAATTCTAAGAAAAAAAGAAAACAACACAAAACTAGTCTGCCTAATGGTAAAGATCACTGATATGCTGACACCTCCACCTCCGCAGCACCCTGCTAGCATGGGGGGCACAAGAAGAGAAGCTAGGTGGACAGTAAACATGGAACTGGTCAGTGCAGCAGAAATGAAAAACATGAACTTCTATGACATGTGCTGAGTTTCAACAGTCTCATATTAATGACGTCCAAGAGAAGCCATTTTAATATCACTATTTTTATATCTAGGCCATTTCTTTATTCAGGTGTAAGCCCTTCTTCCCAAAGCCCCTTTCGCCACAATCTCCCTGACAGAGTTGGACTAGGCTGTCCTGCAGTGATTTCTTTTTCTCTCCTGGTGAGAGATCCCATAGGGTTAGAGAAGAAAACTGCTCCCCTGCTGTTCTCATACCTGGACTCATGTGATTCTCTGTCCAGCATTCCCCTCTCTCAGTGTACTGGCGCTGGAGGAGATGAAGAAGTAGTTTCGGCTGTAATGACATTGCCGTCTTGATTAAATCTCACTCTACGTCTTCTTCACAACAGATCTAGACTTGGGGTTCTCTACTGTGAATGAGAGAATGAATGAAATTATATATATACATATAGTAAACACCATCTCTCATCCTACTCGGAGCAGGATGAAACAATGCAGTAGCCAAAATGATCAATGTCTTGTCTCCTTCACCGTGAACTATTAGTAGCATTAACAGATTTTAAGGCAAAAATCCTATGGAAAACTTTAATGTAAGAGGATGAGTTATACGAAGCACAGCTTGCAAAGAGCTGTTTAAAGATAGAATGGCAAGCAACTCCTAAACGGCAGAATCCTTCCCAATAATTAATGCAAATACCCTTGCTGGAGACATGCATATAAATACCTTTGTGGGACAGACCAAATTTTAAACTAAACACGTTCACATCTTTAAAATCACAGGATCTCCATTTGTTTACAGCAGTACCCACAGTGCGCCCGGCTGTTTTCAGACATAAAAACGGGCACTGTCCCTGCCCCGAGAGCTTAGCAGACAAACTGCCCGCAGGGGGAAGGTGTGTAACTATATATGACGGAGCCCGCGTGTGTGTACATATATGTATAGGTATGTATGTATGTAACTAAAACCTAACCTGAATTAACAGTGGGGATACATGCAAATTCAGTGTGGGGAAGGTGGGAGGGAGCATGAATCTGTTAATCTCAGGCTTCATCCCGGCTCCCAAGCTCTTTATCCTGCAGAGAAAAATCTCATAGGTGCCCTCCTTCACCCACACGGCTCTCGGAGTAGGTTTGGGGCCTCAGATAGGACCTGAAAGGCATCATTCTTTTTCTCCATCTCCAGCTCCGTAGGACGCTGCAGCCGCTCCTCCGACGTGCGGGGGAACCAGTCTGTCCGCACTACTTCTGCACGGACATGCACCAGCCTGTCAGAAGAGAGGAAGCTGCACAGAGAGGCGAGGGTGGACCCCTTTCAGCATTGTAGCAGCCAGAGCTGGGGTATAACATTGCCCATCCGGGATTATAACAAGCTTTGGGGATCCTGCAAGGCAGAAGGAAAAGTAGGGATGGAGATGGGCAGAAACTTGTCTGTAAAAGCCCTCGGGCTGAGGTTGACGTTGCTCGCCAGCCAAGTCAAGTAGGGAAACCTGAGGCAGGCCACACAGTCGGTGTGCGACCCCACTGCTTGCACAGCCGCCTCCGGGGCCCGGCCGGCGCCAGCCCGCTCCCTGCCCGCGAGCACGACGCAGACGTTTCCCAAACGACTTGGGCTGCGGGCCCCTGGCCAGGGCCTGCGCTTGAGGGGGCAAGAGAGGAAGCGCCTCCTGCCCGAGGCCGGCTGAGAGCTGTCTGCGTGCGTGCTTGCGGCGCGGGAAGGGTCCCGGCCACGCGGGCGGGGCGGGGCGGGGCGGGGCGGGGCAGCCGGCCGATCTCCGCCCCAT